TGCACATATTTATATCCTCCACCAACAACACGTGCATAAATTTTAAAGAGGAGATGCTGTTATCGATGGCCTGGCAGGAGTTAATTCACAACACGCTCTAATTCGCCCATCAAACTATGACGGGTAACCAATCGCGCATGCGCGACTTGGATTACGTGAATCCATTCGAACCTACAACTTAAATTTCAAGCTTTAAACGACATGAACGATCGAATTTCTACTTATAACGGACATCGAACGTCTTTAGAAGCTGATTAGAACCTGAAGCAGAACCCAGAAGGGGTTCGAAAACGTTTGTTTTCCGATCTTTTGCATGATCACACCGTAATTGGTTCAGGTGTGTCGATTTTTTGTAGTAGTTCCGGTGTGATAGATAGTGAATTTATTTGTATTTATACAGACCATTCAAATGGCCAGAAAATGTTACAGCTCCATCATAACTCTACATCATTAGCTTATCTTTACATCCAAAATCTGAAAGTACTTTAAACAGATGATTGCTTTAAAGCAACTGCTGAGCAATCCTTGCTCACATTTTTAAATCCAAGAAATTTTTCCTTGATTTTCGTCTTTTACATACTGAATAACAGTGGAAAGTTCAGATAGTTTTGATATATCTGTGTTTCATCGAGCATGTTTGCAACAAATCTGGCATCCTTTATTTAGCCCTTTATTTTATCTTGACCTATGTCTCCAATGCATTCAATAATGCCATTTTGAATGCTATTTGAAGTTCCATATCCTTTGGTTTTTTTGATGTAATCATTCAATTTGCTACCATATTTTGCTAACATATGCAGCAACTCAACATAGTTTCCTCAATTGACAGATTTCTTGTCTTCATCATGACCTCTGAATGGTATTCCCTGCTTTGCCAATAGACATATGATATAAATGAATTGTTTCATTATTTCTTAATTGAAGTCAACATCTTGATTGGGCTTCAAAACTTTTACTCTGTATTGATTAGGTTTCTCATTTCCCAGTGCTTTGCTTGTCCTAGATTTTGAGGAAAAAGCTATCTGTTTCCGGGAAACCTGGGATATAATTAATTATTTTAAGATATAAAATAAATCTTGAAATTGAATGATATAATTATTTTTCATTTTTTAAGTAATTTAATATGTCCTGCAACCTCCAAATTAATAATAATAATAATTCTGTGTAAAATATGTATTAAAAATTATCTTTGAATTATGTAGAAATTTTCACAAATAGAAAAAATTTATTAAAGTTTGTTGGAAACTGCTTACAACAACAAAAAAAAATTTCTTTGAATTGAGTTGAAAATTTAAAGAAATGAACTTAGATCTTCTTAGAAAATTACTTCTAACTTAGAAGGTAATTTTCATTTTTTAAATGAAACATAATACAAAATATTATTGTAAATTTTTATAAGGTTTTAAAAAGCAAAGATGGTTAATACTCCAATCACTCAATCTGATTTTTATTTTAGTAATGAAAATTCCTGTTACTGAGAATGCCCTTTCTGATTCAATTGATGTGGGTGGAATTGTCTGTAAGGCATTTAAGAGAAGACAGATGTTATGTGTTTTTTCACCTGTAGCCTCGAAGATTTCTAGTTAGTTTTCAAGATGTGTTGCAATACTTCTTTTGCTCTCAAGTATTCTTGATTTGTCTACCTTGGTTGCTTTAATAGCAGCATCAAGCATTTAGCCCGATAATTCAGCAGTTTGTTTGGCTTTAATAATCAGTATAATATATAGTTGGTTTGCTGTATGTTATATTAACAATGTAAATTCGTCTCTGTAATTCAAAACACACGCTTTGGTAGACGTATCTCACAGCAATTTCTGGTTCTTTTATTTGTAGTTCAATGAAAAATAAAAGTTAAATTTGCTAACCAGAAATTGCTGTGAGATACGTCTACCAAAGCGTGTGTTTTGGATTACAGAGACGAATTTACATTGTTTAATAATCAGGTTTATGAAGAAAAACTTCATATTTTCATACTTCATACTTTTTTGTATCCTTGCCAATTTGCATAACCTGGCATAATGCATAATATTGAAGCTACTGGGCATGGTTAAAAATTAGCATCAGTGCAATCTGTCAATGTGTAGGAACTACTGCTTTAATTAAATATTATCACTCCAAGTTTCAGTAACTTCTTTAGCAGCATTGTTTTCCATTTCTTCTTCCATACATTTACTTTCTTCCACTTTATCCAAACTTTGTATTTCCTTATCTGTGTTTTCTTCACAAAATTCTTCCCATTTTGTTTGTTCTTTTAATTTTCTTGTCTATAATATTAGAAAATACAATATCTCTTGAAACTATCACTTTTCTTTTCTTGTGATCCCATCAAAGTAAAAAATTAACATCTGTAGGAGCATATCCTACAGATGTTAATTTTTCACTTCGATAGTCAAGTTTCTTCAAGTGACCTAGAACTTTGGAGTGTGCTTCACAACCAAACATGTGCAGATGTGATAGATCTGGTTTAACCTTTGTCCATTTTTCGATAGGTGTTGTCTACAGTCTCTGTGGGACTTCTATTTAGAAGATATGCTGCCACATACATTGCTTCTCCCCACATTTCCTTGTTTAAGTTAGAATCAAAAATGAGAACTCTAGCCTTTTCTAATAATGTTCTGTTTAACCTTTCTGCTCATCCATTCAATTGTGCACTGTATGGCATCGTGTAGTCTAGTATAATTCCTTTTGATTTATATCAATGTCTTATTTTATCACCGAAATATTCTCTTTATTGTCACAACATAATTTTGATACATCAGAGAATATGTCACTGAGGTAGAAGCATAAATGAATCTGAAAGTATTTGAACATTTCACTTTTATTCTTGAGAAGATATACCATACAAAAGTGACTGAAATTGTCCAGTATGGTCAAAAGGTATTTTTTCCATTCCACTTGTCTGGTTCAGTTAGACTGCACAAATCTGTGTACAATCTCAAGAAGCCTGGTGGCTTTCCATCATGTACTTTTAAATGGTAGTCTAGTCTATCTCGCTTTTAAACATATTTCACAAACTGAATTAAATGAGTCACAATCAGATTTATTCAGATTCATTCCACTTGACAAATTGATTAGTTTTTTATATTACTTAAGTGCCCTACTTTTCTATGCCAGTTGTCAGCGATTTTGTTTTCCTCTGTCAGATGCACCTTTTCTTCATTCAGTCTTATAACATACATTCCATTTTCATTCTTTGTTCCTTGGAGCACTTTTATACTGTCCTTTGATATAACAATATTTTCCTTTGTAAAGGTAACTTCAAAGTTGTTAATTGTGATTGTATTAATGAATATCAAGTTTCTACACATATAGTGTAGAAACTTGTGATTAGGCACATACAGTGTATTATTCAACATCCAGTTCCTGTCTTCAATTGTGCTGATTTCCTTAGCAATCATCAATTTGTTTTTCTTTGTAACAGAAATATTTGTTTCAATATATTCCCAATTTATTAAACAGATCTTTATTGTTGAAAATATGCAAGGATGAACTTCAATCAACAAGAAATACAGTTTCTTCTTTATTTTTCCAATCAGTTGAACTCTCACACAAAAATGACTCCTGTTGCAATATATTTTGTGACTTAGTTCTGAAGAAAGTCTTTTTCCTTGTGAACTATCTTTTGTACAAGAATGACAAGAACTACTGGTTCCAAAATAACATTTGTTATTACTGTGATTATTTTTCTTACATATTGTACAAAATTTGCTACCAGTTTCTCTGAGACAGTGTCTGGCCAAATACTGTCTGCTTTTACATCTAAAACACTTCCTCTCATTGTGAAATGCTCTAACTGAAATGTCTTCTTTCTTTGTTTCTTCAATTACATTTTGTCTTAATTCTTTTGCTGTAGCTATCAAGTTCAAAAGAGTTTTTTTTCATCTCTATTTGTTGAATCCTAGGCTATTTTTAACATCTTAAACTTGTCAGGCAAAACAGTCAATATCTTAGTTATGATCATTTCTTCGTCAATTTCCTGTTTCAAATTTTTTAGTTTAGAAATAATAGTTTACAACTGACAGATATTTGTCATTATGTCACTGTTCTATCAAAGGCAAAATTATAAAAGCTTTGTAAGAGATTATGTCTCTGTTGATGAGTATCTTACTCAAATATATTGCACAGCGAGTCAAACATTTCCTTAGTGGTTATACAGGTCATTATTATATGTACCAGAAAACTTATCAATCATTGATATTATGTATTTTTGTGCTTTAGCATTTTCCATTGCCCAAATTGCCTTTTCTTTATCATCCTTAAAGATCATTGTTGCGAGTCCAATAACTATATTCTGATGCCAGATGTCTTCAGAAATATCGTTATTTGAAATTTTCATATTGTAAAACTTTCCATAGTTTCTAAGTTTTTGAATACTTGCAAGATTGTTTTTGGCAGCCATTTTGATCTGTATTGATACCTTCTAATAATTGTATCAGCAATCATAATTCTAAATTTTCATTAAATTAACAATTATAATTTTCAATTTTTACTTATGGACATCCTTTTGTGTTAATGTTTTGGTTTTATTGGTGTATCCTGGATCCATCCTGTTAAGGTTTGAAGGATTGACAAGACAGCAGTTTATCTTTTTAAAGTTTTTTATTAACTGTATATTACATAACGACTTGCCTCAACTACATGATCCTCACACACAGTGTTGCCGAGAGGCTTAAACACAAAGTTTTATAATTATTATTATTTTTATTTTAACACATATAACCTGCAGAAAATTGCTAGAACAAAAATAAACTTATACAACACTAAACTGTTGTGTAAGATTTATTGCATTATTATTATTAACATTTAGTTTTGCATTTAATATTCGTAATTCATTAAAAAATATTTAATAGATTTAATTGTTGCAGTTTTGTTTATTTAAAATATTTAAATCAGTTTTAAAAATCAAATTTGTAAATGTTTTCTAAAAAAGCTATAAAAATGAAATGTAATTAAATTCTGTTTCCATTAAATGTAACTTTTTTATTTTATTGTCATTTCAGAATGTTGTACATAAAATGACATGTGGAGAATTTATTGAGAATCTGTCTGAATTAAATGATGGAGAAAATTTTCCTAGAGATATTTTAAAATCACTTTATTATTCAATCAAGACACAACCATTGCAGTGGGCCACGTATGTATTTTATTTTTAATACAATTCAGTATTCAACTATATTTTTATTAAATTGTACTGTACAGTTATAATTTCAGTATTTTGTTTATCATTAAATAAATTGGTAAAAAAATTTTTTATATTGTATAATTAATGTTTAGTTAACTTTTCATTTGTAATGAATGTTTATCCATAATAATAATTTCCTTTAAATTTATTTCATTATTTTAAATTTTAAAATTAAGATAGGAATTTTCAAATTATGTGCATTTAAGAATGAATGAAAAGAATGATGTACATTTAAGAAATAAAAATGAAAATTTCTCTACCTTAAATTATTATTTTCAATTGATTATCAGAAATAATCTTTATAAAAGCAAAATTTTTTTTGTTAAATGGGCTTTGCTTTAATTTAGGATACAAACCATAGAAACAAAATTCTGTAGTAATGTTTAAAGCAAAGCCGAATATTATGGGGCTAGAAACGACTATAATACTAATAATTTAATAGACAATTTGGCACCTAACACCTGACTCTAATGCCAAATTGTCTATTAAATTATCTGTAGTAATGTGACAATTGCTCATCATTTCTGTATATAAAATTAAATGGTCAGTTACGAAGCCTTTGTTTATAAGCTTCTAGAATGTTCCATTGCCTGTTATTATCTGGAAGGGCAATAAACTCAGTGGGTGAGTAGAAGAGGGTATACATTGACTCATGGATGAGAGAGCAACTCTCTTTTATTTTCGATGCCATTATGGGAAGAATACAAAGGTGACCAGCGACAATGGGACTGTGCAAAAGAAGAGTTACAAAAGTCAACAGACTCTTCTCCAATTGACAAGATGACCAGGAGAAGACAGTGAGTATGTGACACAAAAATTTGAGGAACCTCTTTTGTTATAGTGTCTCCTCTTCCGAGTATTTTTCAATTGTCTACTAATGATAGAATTATCTTGTAAGAAAATTCACAGATTAGAGTAATACTTAATTGTCGTGAAAGACAAAATGACTGATTGTAATGGGAACCTAAAGTGTTGTAATATTTGAATACCCTCTGATTATTGAGTGTTTTGGATCTGATGTTAACTCAACTTCGAGTTGAGAAAATAAAAACTTACAGTAATAGAACTCATCACACAAAATTATAGGTAATGTAATGACAATTTGTCAATATATTAATAGTTTTTGTTGATTGTATATGTACAGTTTAGTCACATAAATAATGCAATATGTTAACATTAGATATTTGTTTTCTATAAAACTGAAAAATAAATAAAAATGCATTGCCAAAGTTGAGGTTATTAAAAAAACATTTAATTAAAAAAACATTTTTTACATTCTTTTAAGAATGTAAAAAATGGATTATAACTACTTTTTTATGTTTAAAATTATAAATTCAAACAAAAGAAAAGTTTTTAAAAATATTTGTAAAAATCAACCTTCAACAAAAACCTTTAATATGCAGTCTTTATTAACTTTTCAAACATTTTCTGCCATTTGAATGACCTTCTTCAGGAATAAAAAATCGATTTGTTTTCTATGAAACTATATACAAAACATAGAGCAGTGGCAATGGGAAGTCCTGTATCCGGTGCATTAGGCGAGATAGTCCTAATGACTTTAGAGAAAGCCATCATACCAAAATACACAGTATACGTCTTAATATATGCACACTATGTTGATGACGTTTTGATTATCTGGAAAGAAAAATCAGACATAAACCAATTTATTAGAGACATCAATTTCAGCAAGTTTGGCCTAGAGCTTGAGCTAGAACAAGAGAATGATAAAAACTATACATTTCCTAGACATAGCAATAGAAGTAGAGAAAGAAGGGTAAATCACTACAAAAGTTTACAGAAAGCTGGCCTGTAATCTGTTGTTAATAATACCATGGACCTCCCATGACCTGGCAAGTCATAAACTAGCAGCATTCCGGGTGCTTATAAGAGAGCATACATACTGTAGCAAAATACAAGACAGAATTAAAGAATTAGAGCACATCAAAGAGCTAGCTAGGGAATTTGGAGTCAACCAGAATGTGAACCATTATTAACAAAAGAAGAATAGAAGATAATGAAGTTAATGAATGGGAAAGAATAGAAGAATATGCTGTGATGAAATACATGGCACCCCTAAGCAATATTTACAAAGAAATAGGAGCAGCAACAAACAAAAAAGATAATTTTTAAAAGGAATTTAACAATATACGAGATGCTACATACAGACGAGAAAGACAGACCAGAGCCTTATTGTAGGAATTTATAGTATACCTGTACAAGACGAAAGGCGACAAAAAGAGTTCTACTACATTGGAGCCACAGGCAGGTCATTTAAAGAAAGGTTAAAAGAACATAAAAGTAACATACAGAACAAGCAGCCAGTCACCATACTTGTAAAGTACTTTGTTATTTTCGCCTTTTACAATGATTATCAACATAGCTGTGTGCCAGAAATAGCCGTTACCTAACAGGTACTTTACGCAGATTCGCGTTAATGTGCCAGGCCTGGACTTTAAGCATGCACTGAAAGAAATAATGACAAAGTTATTCAAAACCAATCTAATATTTAATAATTCTAATAATAACTACGTACAAAATTTAGTAACAACCAACAACAAATTTATTCAAAGAAAATCAATAAGAATCAACCTGACAAAACTCAAATCAATCTATTTCCTAACTTAAATCTATTCCCCTTTGGAACTCGACAAAACTTCAAAGACTTAACTTATGTACAGTACAACAATTCTTATGAACTAAAGTCCTAATCGTCACCTCAATATACTAGGAACCTTTTTCCTCAACTCTCAACACTTTCTCTAATCTTTGATCCACAAATCGAATAACTTCAAATCGCTTTGAAACCACTTTATCGCTATTGGACACCTCTTGTCATCTGCTTCTACGAAGCTCACCACGCTCATTGCTAACAGAGTATAAAGTCCGAACCTCACGTGAAGATGACCTTTGTCATCTTCACTTGAGGTTCGAACTTTATACTGTGAGGTGATGTCACAATTCTCATTGAGTTCACTCCCCTCCATTTACATACTTATTCCTAACAGTAACTTTTTCTTTCTGCCTGGCAGCCTATTTCCCAACAATACTCGCTAACCTTTTACATTATTCTTTTTTACAATTTTTCAGGATGTTTTTATTCTTTAAGGTTTAGCAAGTTCCTAAGTTGTGCTTGTGAGGTCTCCCCCCTCTTTCTCCGTGCAGACCTACTTTTTTATGTTTGGGAGCGTAAGTGTGCGCAAGTTTTTCTATGGCGCTTTTTTTTTCGTTGGTGAGTTGGTTTTCTTTCTTCTATTTTTAAGTTACTAAGGTGAGTGGTGAGGAAACCTTTGTCCTAACAAAACATAAGCCCCAAACAAAAATAGAATAAAAAAAATAAAAAATAACTAAAAATAATGCTCGGACTTGGTTCCTTACACACTAGCGACGTATGTTATAGCAGACCCATAGAGGTCATAGTGGATTAGGAAAGAGCTAAATTAATACAAAAGATTCAGGACAAGAGACACCTTAAATACACAGAAGCATGGCAAACACACAAGACCAACCAGGAAGGACAGGCGATAAACTTTAGAGAATCGAGTAAAGTCTCAGCAGCATGGAGAGTGGGCATAGTCTGAATATTTTAGTATGAAAAAAGGATAAATGGTTAAAGAATTAGGCACAGTTGTGTTACTATTTTTATTTATTTATTTATTCTTGTATTGTTTATATGTATATTTGTAAAAGTAACCTGTATATATTGTATTATTTATTTATGAGCTTGCACACTAGACATCTGTGAAAATTCAAACATTTAAAATCGTTCCAAAACAAATTTCATTTTATAGAAATCAGAATCATTTTATTTTTTATTCCTGAAGAAGGTCATTCAAATGGCCAAAAACCTTTGAAAAGTTAATAAAAAAGGCTGCATATTAAAGGTTTTTGTTGAAGTTTGGTTGTTATTTGAGTGCAGTTAGAGAAGAGTATATTTGTAAAATTCAAAAAAATTAATATTTAAAACTTTTTGTTAAATGTTTCTGGTTATCTCAACATTAGCAATGTATTTATTTATTTTTTGGTTATATTAAAATGTTACCAAGTTTTGTGAACTTTCATAATGTGTTTTCTATAACATATGATTGGGTTGCAATTTTCAGATTGCAGGCCTATACATTCTCACTGTCATCTGTTCATCTGTCTGTTCTTCATTAATCTCAAGAACAGAATTAGAAAGATGAAAATTGAGACCAGACATGGAAACCTTAAGACCAAATTAACTATATATGAATTTCTGGTTTGCCTTAAAGTTATGTAATTTCACTTCAAAAGTTTCTTGAGAACAGAGTTAGATAAAAATAGAGACAGATATGGAAAACTTAGGGTTAGAGGCTTCAATTAACTATAGAATAACTTCTGGTGGACTAGAAGTCATGTGACTTTTAAATTAAAAGATGATTAAAACTTATGGCCTGGAATTGTGATGATTCACAATAATATACTTTCAATTTTTATAAAAGGAGATTTACAGAGAGTGAATAAAATATATGATAAAATGTGAAATTGATGAATAAAATATATAAGATTTTTTTTTTATAATTAAGAAAAAATTTATTTTTTTTTCCAGATTCTTTTTTTATTAAAATATTAATTTAATTATAATTATTAAATTTATTAAGAGATGACACTTGATGTTTATCTCAAGGTCAAATTATTGACATTCAATTAGTAATTACTAGCATTAATATAGGCCAATGTAATCCAGCAATCATTTGATATTAATCTAAAAATTGGGTTTATGAATGTTATGTTTGTACCATATTTTCAAAGATTGACTGGCATGCCACATATAACTGGGGGAGACCAGCATGCTGGAAACTCCAGGGTTACTGGCTAAAATGCAACTGAAAAATAAAATTAATCAGATCTAATGAAACTAGTTGTTAAATAAATGTTAAAGGAAACATTCTTCCCAGTACAATAAAATAATAACATTGTAATTTGACTGACAGAAGA